GTCTGTATCTAATTCCGATGATCAGCGTCGCTTTTCCAATAATACTAAATTCCCTGCAACTGTAAATATTCGCATCAAACGTACTGAAATGACGAAGGATGATGGAATGAAGAAAATGAAGAGCAGATAAATACAAAAACAAACATTTTAATTTAATATTATTTTAAAGCAACATTGCGTTTCTGAAATAAAATCAATCAAGTTCTCCTTGTTATTAGCGAATGTAGGTTTTAAGCCAGCTATGTCTAAACCCAAACTTGAATAAAACCACCCAACAGTGGACTATACCAAACCACTCCTACCGCAGCATAAATTAACAACCTCATAGCGAAGAACCTATTTCGTAAAATGTGGTTTGTTCTATCCATGTGATATGATGCACATTGTATACACTGGGTCATTGTAGAATTGGGAATGCTGTTGGGAATTATCATTCTGTTTGAATTTATTTGTGTTAACTTTTTTTTTCAAAATGACTTAATAGTAATACACAGTATTTGTAAGTTGTTTAATTAAACACAACTGATGAAATAATAGCATATTTACTGTACAACTTAATTTATAATAGTATGTTTTTAAAATTCTGATGAGATTGTAAAGTAATAATAATATAGAAATTTATATAGCGCCTTTTGCCAAAGGATACAAGGCGCTTAGAAAAGGTTTATTGTAGGAAGAGGATTATTTAGGAAATAAATGAGCTTTTAAGAGTTTTTTGAAGACTTCAGTACCTCAAGCATTTCGGATGGAAATAGGAAGATTATTCCACAGTTTTGGAGCAGAGGAAGAGAAAGATTTATCACCAGCAAGTTTGTTGGATTTGGGAACAGATAAACAGGAACCGGAAACAGAACGGAGAGAATAGGTAGAGGTTAAGAAAATCAATAGACAGGAGATATAACTAGGATTGGAGTACAGTATGTAAATAATAATACAGAAATGTAATAATTAATTGCATATGATTTACAATTTATACTATGCCATTATATTTTTTTACAGGTCAAAAGACCCATATAATTATGCCTAACTTTCCTGCATTGGTGAAAATAGATTTTTGTCATAATCATCTACTGGTTGCCGCAGACAAGAGAATAGGGGTCCAACCCACTGCTTTTGCTCGTAGAAAAATAGCTGTAGGTGGAAGGAAGCGAATGGCCCTTGGACGGCCTTGTAAGAGTTCAGAACCTCAAAAAGAAAAAAAATTAGGCCTCAGTAGTCAGTCATTACCCTTGACTCGTGAAGCACCACATAGCATGGCAAAATGTGTCATGGCAAATCGTCAACTAGGTAAAACACACTCAACTATGTAATATACAGTACAGTAATCACAAATAAAAATTGTGATTATGATCAAAAATATGGTTGATGGCTGCTGCAAACCATTGTTGAAAAGGAGGCATGACAATGTAAGTGAAGGTTCACCCAATATTTTCTATCTCCACCTTGCAATTGCCCCCATTTAAAAAAGTATGTAACGCTATAAAAATGTCAACGTTTTGATAGTTAATTCTATTAAACAATGTATGCATAA